GGGTGAGAAAGCAGCTGCAGGGTTCAAAATTAAAGAACAAAAGAGAAATTTGCCTTGACATTCTGAGTTCAAATAAAAATACTTGCATAGCAGAGCTTATCAACAGACGAAGAAAACGGTAAACTATTGTCAGATTGTCTTAGATAGTCACTATTAAATGTATTATTATCACTACAAAACTCACATAGATGAATAGAGAAAACCCTACACCCTATCTATTAAAGTGAACGGATTTTCATTTTTATGTATTAAATCAGTTTTAAACACAAAATCAGTGAAGAGTAGAAAAACCTTTGAAGACAGCTTGTGCATGAGTAGACAGACTCAGCTGATATTTATTAAAAGTCCCATTTACTTCGCTAACACAAGCTAATAGGGGATTTTTGAAACGGAAAAGTTCTGTCTAGCCAAAAAAGCAGAGATAATCCACTAGGTTATGAAAACTACTTTCCAAGAAGTAAATCATAGGAGTATTTACATATACCTACTGTAGAGATACTTCGGTATTACTGCAAATAAAATGACAGAGGTGGCAGGATTAAAAAATAAATTGAAGGAGTTACGTATAATTTAGCTTCATTTTAAAAAGTTGTTTTCAAAATTTTGGACACATTACGATAATTATTGTCGCATCTGTGCAGGGTTTTTATAAATGATTCTAAGAGCGTAGTTGGCCATGGATTTCAAAAATCCCGCTTCGCTGAAATTATGCCTCATTATGACAGTTCTCACTTGTCATTAATGTCATGTGTAACATGTCATTTAAAGTCATTGTTTTTGTTGTTTTACCGTTTTGCAAGTGTGAATTACAGTAATTCTCGTTGATCCAAGCTCAAAACAACAAAACAACGTTTACAAAACTCTTGATGCTTGCGTACGAAAATTTTGTTTTTTCACTAGTAGCCTAGAAATGCACCATTATCATGCTTGTCTGTGAGTAGTGAATTCGTTTTTCTCTACCAATGTCAATAATGATAATTAAAGTTGACCAAGGTCTATAATATAATTGACGAAGGTCTATAATATAAATATACAGCGTGTCTCAGAAATAAGTACATTAATTTTAACCAGTAACAGAACTCGTGAAACGGAACAACTTTTTTATCTAGCATTTTTTCGAAAACTCAAGTTGAATTTCGAATTTTCCCACCCATATATTCACGAGCCGTCTATGTTCACCTTAAATAATAACTTAAATAATAGCAACACTACAACAATGAAGAAGGTACCGTAGCAACCGTTTTGACACTGACAATCATTTTTATGTCAATGTTTTTATTAAATGTTGTCTCTTTAAAGTTTGTTTGGCACAGATTTCTAATTTATAGACGAAATGTGTTGAAATGGCTTTGTTTTCAAATCTGGAATGCACCGATATCGTTTTAACGTACGGTGAAGCTAGGGGAAACGGCACTCGCGCCCAACGAATTTTTTCAGAAAACCTCCCAAATCGTCGTCTGCCAAATGTGCGCAGTTTTAAGAACGTTGCAGCATTTTCGAGAGTACGGATCTTTTAAACCGGCACCTCAGGATCGGGGTAAGTTACGTAGTAATAGAATTACTAATGTTGAAGAGGCTGTTTTGAAGAGTGTCGAAGCTCGACCGGGCACTAGCACGCCTCACTGTCTAGTGTGATGTATCGGAGAGTAGTATTTGGAGGATACTCAGAGAACAAATGTACCCCTTTCAGGACCAGAAAGTTCAGTTATTGAAACTAACAGACTTACCACGTAGGCAAAACTTTTGTGAGTGGGTTAATAGAAAAATAAACGAACAAGCAAATTTTGTATCTCTTATATCATCAACTGATGAGGTCGGTTACACGAGGGAAGGTGTTCAACACCCACATTTGGGCCGATGAAATTCCGTACGCCATTAGGGAGCAGGATTTTCAATTTCTCTCTAAGGGCCGGTTGCATAAACGCAAATCAAATTTAATCTCTGATTAACTCCATAGTAACGATTGTTATTATCATAGTTACAATTGTTCTTAATCAGAGATTAAATTTGATTTGCGTTTATGCAACCGGCCCTAAATGTTTGTCACATTGACAAGATTAGGAAAATACGTATCCTAGTAACTGTCCATGGGCGGGTAACCTTAATTGGGGTATAACTTTAACAATTTTTAACTTGATAATTAAAAAGTTCTTGACAAAACTCTACTAAAAAAAGTTGTTGAGTTCAATGAGCTCTATAACTGATTAAAATTAATGTACTTATTTCTGAGACACCCTGTATAATGGTAGTGAAGTTATTATTGACCAAGGTCTATAATAAGGATTGAGGTCACGGAATGCTTAACAAACGAAAATTGGCCATTATTACCAGATTTTTGAAATTATTTTCACGAGGAATGTAAAAGCGCGAACTGCCATAACATCAAAATTATTTATATTATTAATTTTTATTTTTTTTATTATTTTCTTAATTATTAGTTAATGGTTTATTCTGCTGAACAAGATACATTCATTGTTATGTCTTATTGTCGCAATGGGACATTCGTAAACGAAAAGTGGATGTATTCTGTGACCGCTTGTAAGCAAGAATATCTGGTCAAATCCCGTGATTTGATAATTCAAGAAACATCGTTAGATTTATCTGAAGAAGTTGTTGACGATTTAAGACGGCTTGAGCAGAACCCGCAAACATCTTTGACAATATTTTCTCAATAGTCTTGTTCTTGTTCCAACAAGAAATTGAATGGGTCCAAAGTATTGACCAAAGGATGTTACAGAGCATTTTTGAAATTAAAAAGAGAATGAACATGTGCCTTGAACAAAGTGGTAGGCAACCAGTTATACATATGCGTGTGGTATTTGTCGGGGCAGTATTTAGTAAAGTCTATTTAAAGTGAAAGACGGCACGTTTCCATGACCTACTTTGATTTCGAATTATTTACAAAAACCCTGTACAATGTTTTACCTGTTTAAAACAGAAGCAAATGGTTTCATCCACGAAAAAATTAAGTTTTTCTCGAAATCTGTAAATTAAAATTATTTTCAATATTTTTTTCCACTGCTGCTGCGAACGCACAGCCAGTCTTTGGGAATGGTTCTCTAAATTTCATTTTTCGCAAAACGTTATTCAACCCTTAAATTGTGAAGGTCAAAACGACCAACAAGAGCTTGTCATCATAAATTTCCAACAAGGTTAAGTTTATGTATGGCCTTCGTGATCAAGTAGTAATAACACATTGTACTTAAATCTTAAAATTTTGGTTACATTTATGTCCACGGATCTTTAAAAATTTTGGAACGCGGTTATCACCAGTGTTTATAGCTTGCAAAAATCCATAAATCATAGTGGAAACATTTTTCTGTCGAAAATGAAATAAAAATGCTAGGAGTAAAATACTGTTAATAAAACTGAACTTACGTTGTATAAAGGACGTTGCGGAGATAACTTTTACTCCTGGTGGCAAAAAAAGTTATTTAGGGATCAAGTTTCACTTTCAGCTGTTTTGCTTTGAAAAGGAATTTATGTGCGTAGTGAGGTATGTAAAATTTATTACTTGCAAAATAAAAGGGACAGATCATTTTCAAAAATAAGTTGGTAAAATTTGGTTTTGCAATTTTTTTTATGAGAACCCCTGTAAGTTGAAATAAACATTTATGTAATGTTAAAGTAAATATAACGAAGCCTGCTACGCGCATGTTTCAAATAAGCTTTTACTTTACAAAATTTTGTAATGATGTCATCAATATTTTTGCAAGTACACGTATATCAACTTGAATGGTGCAGTGTAATACTAAAACAGTTTTGTATTCTCAAATTTTGAGGACAATGGAGTGAGGTGTTTCTGATTTGATTAATAAAATAAATTGATTCATTAATTAAATTTTTTTGAGCCACTTGCATTAGCAAATCTTAAAAATATGAATCCATTGACAAATCACAAGTAAAAACTCATCATATTTTGCACATTTTAGGTAGGATTTATTCGGCAAAATTTTGAGACGAAATCGACAATTTTTTGGGGGGAATAAACAGATATACCTACTTTTTTATTCGGTAAAATTTTAAAGTGGCGTCATCAATTTTTTGGGGGTATAAACAAATATGTTTTAATTAAAAATTGACCATACTTTAAAAATCTGCATGATTTTAAAGCATTCAGTTTTGCAGATTCAAAATTAAGTTGCAAAAGGTTGTTTTATAATTTTGATTTTTTTTTCCAATAATCTGGACGTTTCGGGAAAAAACTCAATTCGGAGTCATAAACTACACGTGTAGAGCTGTTATTTTATACAATTTTAAACCCATTTGCTATATACAATTTTGAGGTGACGTCAGCACATTCTTAGTGGGGACGATTAGACAAAGTTTGGTTAGTGTTTTACGATCTACATGATATGCATAATGCACATTTAAAATTTGACAACAATCGGTCCGGCAGTGTCATCTAACAGTAATTGACACAGACAGCGTACAGACAAACAGACGGACGGAAACGGGAGACATATTTTTTCGTACTCTAGGGGTCATGACCTATCGAGAAAATTTGAAAGCAGCAGCCAGTTGCGCGATGGACTCCATTATAATGCTTACTTAACTTACGCTCGGCAAGGAAGAATGTTACACTATTATAAACAACTAAAAACAAATTGTTACGTTTTTTGTCTAAAAATTCTAATATTATGTTTATGCATATTTACTTCACTTGCAGTGCTACTTTTAATTACATATATGTATCATACTTGCAAGTTTACACAAAGTAAATGTCAAAATCACGAACACTCGCAAAAAATTGTATACCTATTTTGTTGTAGTATTGACTATTGACAATGATAAATTGACCTCGATGGTAATTAATACGCTGTCACTGTGGTGTTGATATTATGTTAAATTTTGCATAATTTGCATGAATACATTATAACAAAAGTGTGCTATATTTTTTACTGGTTACCTCCAAATTTGAATTATAATTTTACCATAATCAGTTAAAAATTTAACTAGTCTGTTTTTGAAATCTGATTTGGGACCTTCTTCCTAGTTACCTGTTTTGTATCTATCTGTCGTCCGTTTTACACAGCGATAGCTCTAGGACGTAGGAATTTGTGCGATCATCCTAAGCTAAAATAAATGTTAAGTGTTAAGTCATCAGTTAAGTCAGTCTAAGTGTATGCAGGTTTTTATTCTTACATTATATCTGTCCATATATATTGTATGTATGTAATATAAAAGACACCTGCCAATACGTATTCTCATTGAGGTCGCTGTGGTAAGTAAGCGCGTAAAAACATGATTCGCCACAGTGCGCGAACTTGTTGCGTGCTAATTCACAGTGCAAACGCACTTAAAATGTACACAGGTGTCCAAATGAGTACGTCTGAATAAGTGCTTGAGGATTTTGGTGTACTTAAGTGGCCTACTTGGATATTTCGTCATCGCATTAGCTTTTCCTAAATTGAGCGACTATGAAAAATGTTTGTTTGTACTTTTATCTTCGTTGCTATATTTGTAAAATTTATGTGATAAGTAATTTGATGTTTAATGGTAAACTGTATATTTTCTGAGAATGTGTTTATCTTATTATCTAGCTAAAAGAACCGCAAATTCCTAAAATTTCGGTATGAAATTAAGAAAGCAAAATTCATGTAAGAAAAAGTACCACCGACGTTAATGCATGAAGGTGTATTCAAGATTGAAGGCTATGGCTATGTTGGGAGTCATTTTTAGACAAATAGTGTACGGGTGATTAGTTCCCAAAAACAAGTTTAACTAAAATATGCATTGCTAAATAAAAACAAAAACAAAAAAGGGGAAACGCCTTCATTTTAATTGCTTATTTAAGATCAACAACATGTTGTAAATAGGCTGTTGGAGCGCTTATTTTTTATACTTAATGTGAAGCTATCGTCCACAAAAAAATAGCACAAAACCCTTTTCACAGAAAAGTTTTTTGAGCTCAGTTGTGTATGCTAATAAAAATAACCAAGTTGATAAAAAAAATCAGAACGGTTATATATACTTACGCAGCACCGTCATTCTCTCTGCAGGATTAATGTTAATTTAATAAAGGTATTTGGTAGCACTAAAAGTATTTTACTGCAAAAACTTTTGAAATGACGTCACGAGGATATAGACAATTAATTTTTTATCACGTTTGTGTGCTCCTGCAGTTTCAATGCATTGAAACAGCATTGTAATATTTGTAATAAAGGAAAACATTTCTACTTCTCTACAATCAAAAACTGCTGAGTTCAATGATTTTTACTTCCCTACCGTAAGTTAAAGAAGCACAGCAATCGAGTCCAACGGGCGACTGTCTGTCTGTCTGTCTATCCGCCATCTGTGTCAATTTTTGTATATATAATAATGTATATTTTTAATAAACAAGTTTTCTACTTAAAGTTACGACCGGAAGTGGAAAAAAATGGTATATACAACTCGGAATTCAATGTTGTTGACCAATGTAGGACTACTTTGCCTGGCCTCGCTAACCCTCGGGGCAAACATCGTTTCCACTGATAACGATTACCTACATCCCTCGTATTATAAATAATGACTATTTATACAACTTCTCAGCGTGATTCATAATTTTTTTCCTGAGTGTAAGGTAAGGAAGTATAGTAATCGAGTCCATCGGGCGACTTTCAAATTTCATGTTGTCTCGACGTTTTATGACCGCTGGAACATTTCCCGTTTCCGTCTTGTCTATCGATTGTTGTCAAATTTTATATGTATATTCTGATATTCCGAATATACATACAAAATTGGAGATGGTAAAACACTAACCAAAATTTGCATCAGCAATGGGATGACGTCATCTCCAAAATTTAGTAAATGTTATTTAAATTTTATAAAATAAGATATTCCTGCACTTGCAGCTGATGAATCCGAGATGATTCTTTACCATAGACCGTCAAACTTTTGGAAAAAAAATCAAAATTCTATAACAATATTTTGCAATTTAACTTTGAAACTGTAAAATCGAATGCTCTGGAACCTTACGAGCGTTGTAAGATTATCGTAGGCATTGTAAGTTGTTAATCAAAATTTATTTATTATTTCTTTTATCCCTTCCCAAAAAATTTATAATGTCATTTCAAAATTTCACCGAATAAATCCTACCTAAAAATATGTAAACATTTTCTAATGGAAAAACTCACTTGAAGCACACACGTAGCATGCTTTTACCTCTCCTTTAACAGTTCACTCATATCATTATTTTAACTTGCAGTGATTGTAATTCTAACGATAAAACGTTACACAAGATTATTATTTCAAAATTGCCCCGGTGAGCGCAGAGTTGCGAGGATGAGTAGCGGGGACTGCGCGAAAGGGAGTCGTGAGAAGAGGTGCGAGTGTTGGGTGCGTCGAGGAGATTCTGGGGAAAAAGGTTCGAGAACGAGAGGAAACGGTAGTGGATCGGGTGGTATCCTGCCGTCGACATCGGGTACGTGATCCTTTGGTGTGGATGAAGACACCTTGGGACAGGCTGAAGAGTTGCCCCGGTAGCCGAGGATGATTTTTTCTTTATCAAGGCCTTTAGAGGGGTCCTTGCGGGCGTGCCTATTTTTGGAGTCGAGTAGAGTTGGCAAGACGGTGATTGACCAGGTGTTGGGATTTTGGGGCAACGTGAGACCACAGCATTGGAGCTAGCGGTTGAGAATAGTTTTATGAAGGGAAGGATTAAAGAACTGGAATCGACGGACAGGGAGACGTACGCTGGAGTTGTCGGAGGTGCTAGATCTAGGCAGGATAGTAAGGAAGTGCCAAGAAAGAAGGAAACGTATTCTGTTATGGTGAAGTCTAAGGATCCTGGGGAAGATGGTGATAAGATTAGAGAGAAAGTTAATAAAATAGATGTAGACGTGAAAGTGGAAAATGTGAGGAGGAACAGAAGTGGTGGATTAATAATTGAGACGAGGAGTAAGGAGGAGATAGAGGTGATAAAGCAAGTGGTTAAGACAAACCCGAACTGGTCCACGGAAGATGTGAAAAGGAGAGAATTTAGGATGATGTTGTATGATGTACCTGTGGAAATGGGGAATCAGGAATTGGTTGAGTCGATATATCGGAAAAATTACGTGGGGAAGATGGCCGAGGAACAGTTTGGGGATAGTGTTAGAATTGTTGGGAAGAGGATCGGGCAAGTAGGAACGGGTAAGGTAAGCCAAAAATTCGAAAATGTTGTGATTGAGGTTACGGCTAAATTTAGGGAGGTATTTTTGGACCAGGGTAGGGTGTATGCTGGCTGGCATTCGTTTAAATGGAAAGAATGGGTCGATATGTTGAGGTGTTATAACTGTTATGGATACGGTCATGGTGCGTTTGATTGTAAGATCAGAAATAAGGTTTGCAGGAAATGTGGGGAACAGGGACATGTAGGGAAACAATGTAAGGCGATGATTGACCAGTGTAGGAATTGTAAGGTAGCGGGAAAGGAATTTGGCCACTCGGTGTTTTCCAGTATATGCCCGATATTTGTACAGTAGCTGAGTGCGGTCAGGAAATTTATTTATGGGCCTTAAAATCTTGCAAGCAAATTGTCAGAGTTGTTATAGTGTGATGTGTGGCATAGAGGTATGTATGAGAGAGAATGATATAAGGGTGGCGTTGTTTGCAGGAACTGTATGCAAGAGAGGGCCGGGTTGTTGGTGTGCCTGATGATATGAGAGTGTATATGTCCGCTGATGATTGTGGAGCTGCAGTGTTAATAGATGATAGAGGTATGGATGCTGTACAAATAAGCGTGCAAGGTCAAAATTTGGGTGTATGTGTAAATATAGACTGTGAGTTGGGTAACATGTGTGTGGTGTCTGTGTATTGTCGATATGGGGATGAGATTGGACCGTATTTGGAATGGATCAGGAAGGTGTAGGTGTGTTATAGTAAGTATGTGAGGACAGGTCGTGAGAGTGAGAGGAGGGGTCGGGAATTAGAAGAGTTAATTGGGGAATTGGACTTGGAGGTTTTGAACAGATCATCTGATCGGGCCAATGGGAGAGTCGGACATAGACGTCACGGTAGTGAATGGTGGCTGGTTGGAGAGCTTTGTGTGTGACACGTGGGAGGTTAAGGAAGACTGGGGTGTGAGTGACCACAATTGTATATTGATCGGTGTGGAAGATGTGCGAGGGAAGTTCAATAAGAAAATAAAAAAGAGGAGAGGGTGGTTCATGGGAAACGTCAACTGGGAGATGTTCATATCAGAATTGGGAAGGGAGGCCTATATGACCAGTCCTGAAAGCTTCACGAGACTCCCGGGTAGGGAGCAGCTAGAAAGCCTGCACGGATGGATCTGCATTGCTATGGACAAGGCGACAAAAAGATTTGTGAGGGGTAAAGGTAAAAGAGCAACCTGGTGGACCGAGCAACTAAAGGACTTAAAAAGTCGAGTTGCAAAAGCAAGAAAAAAATGGCAGTTGACTCGTACACGAGAAGGGAATTTGGACGGAAACGAGAGGTGCAGGTTCGAGTACCAAGGCTGGCTCAAACATTATAAAAAGGCCATCAAGGAGACAACGGTCTTATGGTGGAGGAATTTTGTCCGGTTTGTTGGCAATGCAGATCCGTGGGGTGCAGTTTATAAGCTCTGTAGGAGTGAGAAGAACGAAGGACTGGTAGGCGTATGGGACGGTGGAGGGATACCGTGGAGGTATTGTTGAGATAATTTTTCCCAGTTGACGTTCCCGTGAACTATGAATTGTATGAAGGGGTGGAGGGTGTCGTGGAGAGAGTGAATTATGATGAGGTTGAAAGGAGCATGGGGAGTATGAGGAAGAAGAAGTCGCCGGGAATGGTGTGATGCCTGAAATGATGACGCTTGTGTGGGAGACTGTTCCGAAGTATATGTTAAAGGTGTTTAATGCATGTATGGAGGAAGGATGGGTTCCGGATGAATGGAAGGTAGCGCGACTGGTCATCCTCTTGAAAGACATGGATAAGGATAGGTCATTACCGAGGTCGTATAGACCTATCGGCCTTTTGAGTGTGGTGGGCAACGTGTTTGAGAGGGTACTGGTGGGGAGATTGGTGAGGGTACTTGAAAGAGGTCTCACTTCGGATTCGTGAAAGGATTGGGAATACAGGTGGTGGAGTGGTCGGAAAAGAAGTACGTGTTGGGAATTTTTGTTGATTTTAAAGGTGCGTTTGAGCTGGAATGCGGTGTTGAGTAAATTGATGGAAGTTAGGTGTAAGTAAAGTTTGGAGGAGTTATTTTAGAGATCAGAAAGTGTGTGTGGTTGGAGGGGAAAATGAGGTGGAAAGGAAGGTGTGTAGAGGATGTCCACAAGGATCTATCTGTGGACCGGCGGTTTGGAACATGATGATGGAT